GAGAGTGGCTGTAACTAAAGTCGCGACACCGCTGTTGACCCTTAGCTCTGAAGAGGCTAGCACCCAGGCCCTAGAGCGTTCCTTAACCGCTCAGTGCGTATTTCCATTGTTGATCGTTTGGTACTTAAAACATGTTTTAGATACAAATATTTTAAGTTATCCCTCTTGAAATTGTAACGGTATAACAGCATTAATACAGATAGGACCCAACTTTAGATTTCAATCGGAAAATTTTATTACTAATCTAGTAAAAATACAAAAAAAGTTACACGGTTACAAAAAACAATAGTGTATGTGTTCTAAGTCGTGACCAACTAAACTGTACCATAACAACGACCAAAGCAGAGCCATTTTAACTGAGCGACATAGGCGTTAGAATTACTGTTGATATCTCTAAATATGTGAAATAAGCGCATAATGTAATAAAAATCTTCAATGTATGGACGGGATCGTAAACAACAGTCATAAATCGTGTCCGTTGTCAACAGCACCGACAATCACAAACCTACGCGATACAAAAATGGCGATCGCAATGCTAATCCGCTTGGCGACGTAATTAAGAGATTGCCATACGTCGATTATTATGAGATCTGTCAGTGTGGCCAGTATTATTAATCACGGCAGGGCTGTCATATTATGACTGGCAATTTTTTTTTACAGATAAGCATGGGGTTTTCTTGATGTAGGTGGAATACCTTAGCCATAAAGTTACGCAAAACAAGTTACGTTGTCGATCTATTTTGGCTTTGGATGTTCGGAAATCCACAGATTGAAACTGAAACGCGATAAAACTTGACGGCTTTTTCATCTGTAGACTGTGGTTCTTGGCGGATATTAGATATTAATTATTCTAATAAGTACATAAGAATATCGACGCTTAACTAATTTGTAATGCTTTGCACGATGGCATCCTATTTTGGAGAAGATAAAATACACTAAAGTGTTGTTCCAACAATGTTATTACTATCTTTAACATTGAATACAACATCAACAAGAAAGTAATATTAAATATCTACTTGATTATTAATAGACAACCCTTTGAAAACTTTTGTGTTTGCACGTGATGATAGCATTAGGTATATGTACATTAAAATCGACTTTAGATTGAAAAAAAATGTGTAACTCTGTGGATGCCGTTCAAGTCCTGCCCGTGTCGTAATTCTTTCCAATCCAAACTCGATTTTTAATTTACAAAGCCCTTGGAATACGCAAGATGCGTCGTACACAACCGCTAGGAAATGCATAATGCATCACCATCACGGCATTCAGAAGTGATTATTTACATAATTGTATAATAGTCATCAACTTCTTTGTCCTCGGTTATGTGTAATCCAACGAGCTTGAATAGGGTAAGTTATTGCCTTAAGCGATTAAACTATGACATTATGTAATTGACATTGTTGGCACTTGTATGCGTTATAACAACAATTATATAAAAAAATAAATAAAACAAATCAGACTATACAGTTTGTCTTTGTTGACGGTTTAATTGCAGTAGTATTTTTTATCCAAAGGTTGCAATTTTAAATAATAACAAATATATACTAGTCATTTCTCTATACTTTCGTACACGAATTCCACACCAATCGTCACAGAAACGAACAGACGTCTTGTTTTTCACATCTGTCCTGTTTATTTACTAACAAGTCACTCGTGTATAGTTAAAATTCCTTCCTCGTTCGTATAAGAGGTCCGGGCGAATAGTACAACGAATTTTGTATCAATTAAAGTCGGATTTTTCGCGTAATTGCGACGATACATCAGCAGTGACAATCGTACATGCGTGAACTTTAAAAATTGGCTCCCGTTTCGCCTATTTTGGCGGGCGAGACGCGCTGACGGGTTAATAAATCGTGTCCCGACGTCTCGGGACGGTATGAAAACGTCTTAATGATACATGTAGATTCCTCGTGATATATGCGCACGCATGTCGATCGTAAATCTGTTTTATCTTATTAATTATGGTGGAGGAAAACATGTTTGCGCTCTGCTTCTCGCTTCTTAAAGAGACGCTGAAACAAATTTTGTTTTCTCTTACTAGTGTCCACCTGCACTACCTCAATAATTCGTAAGATATTGGACGATATGTAAAACTAACTTCTACCTACTGTTTCGTCAACTTCACAGATCCAAAAATTTTATACCATAAGTTAAAAATGGATAAACATTGATAAAACATATCTATACGCAAATTGCAAACCTTGCTCACATATTAAAATAAAATACTTTAACGGTTTAAAACCCGATATATATACTAGTAAAACTTGTTTGAAAAGTACTTTAACTACGGCCCGACGTCGGCCGAATGTCGGGTATTTGCAGCTACTCTAATTTCTTTCTCTAATGTGTACTACTCGCGAAAACTACAGTGCTTACTTACATAATTTGTTGGTGCAAAAATGTTTTATACCTAAAAATCCCTATCTCAATGAAAGAAAGATAGAGGCATCTTCAGCCGTTTAATGTCAACTGGCTACGTCGTTCGCCAAAGTATGTTCCAATTAAATTACAAATTCAATAAGAGATTACTGTCAATTTAGATAAATCACTATGTTGAATTATAGCGAGCGGTCGATTTGTCAGTTTTTGTTTGATCGGCAGTGCTTCATTTTTGCGATGCATCGACGTCGCGTGCGTCGCGCCGGCGCCCGCGCAGCTCATACAATATTAATGATCGACTGACGCCGATTAGCGAACCGACGACCAATTAAACACGTATAGCACAAAAAGACAAGCTCAGTATTAGACAAATCGTATTGATCAATCTTAATCGATGCGTTTATATTAATTGCTTATGCGACTGCCTGTGTGTTTAAATGTTATACTTAAGTTTGCTTAATAGTGGAGCTATAAATGAAAAGTATTTAAACAATTCCCTCTTAAATGAGTGATACCTAATAACTTATTAATTAAGTCTAGATACAAGATCAATTCGAACGTTAGTGCTAATATTTTAGGGTTTCTAAAATTACCTACTTAGGCTTTATCTTGAGACATATTAAGTAAATGCATATCTTAAATGGAGATGCAGAGATGACGCCTGCGCAGATTGTTGTTAGGAAAGTGGTCACGGCGATTATGTGTAACCCGGTCGAAGAGATGTACCAACACTGTGTAGGTGGCATTTATCGATATTTTTTTGTCATTAATTGAGACACTTAATTTTATTAAACATTTTAATAAAACACTTTTAACGCTAACAAAAAGCAACGGTGATCACGGGGGCTAATATATTCCGCGTTAAACTGTTTAAAGTATTGAATTTAATATGCACACTTTTATACCAAATTCACGTTTTATACCAAATTATATATTCGGTTTAAACATTGACAAATTCGGTCATGGTCATGCTAAAACCGTTTAAGATTTGACCAAAGAACAGAAAGCATGACAGACCTATCTACTTAAAAGCACGATTATTTGTAACGCATGTTAAGTGTATTGAGTTATCATAGTTAATAATTTAACAGTTGATTGAAAACTAACAGCGTGACTAATACACTTAACACGCTTTCATTTGAATTAGATACTTTTTTACAAGTTATCGATAAGTAGCGGAGCATCACTACTCCTAATTACCGTTAAGGCGGCGATTTGTTAAGGTGGGAGGCACAAAAAGACGTCTGCCGCGAGTGGGGCAAGGGCTGCTAATGGCAGTCTAATGGGGACGGTATGTCGCATGATTAAGGGACATTGCTCGAATATCATATCGCTGATGGGTAGCCTAGGTGCTGTTGAGAGCGTGGAATATTTGCAAGACATCCTTAAACTGTAGGTCAACAATTATATACGTATATGTAGAAGCAGAAAGAAAACCAAACTATATCAATAGGTTCGTTGATATAGTTTGGTACGGGTCATGGATTCGATCCCCACACACACATGCACGCACATCTAATCAAATTAATCATTATTCTGAGACTTGTTGATATTTTTCAGTAAATCTGAAATATCAAAATTCTGTCCGAGTCATAAACTACTGTCGACGGATGAAAAAGCCGTGAAGTTTAATCGCGTTACTGTTTTAGTTACTCTTCTATCATAAAATAATATCTGACAATATTGCTATCATATGCAGTTCCATCCAGCTACATATATATCTAAATGCTAGTCTAGGTTGTTGTGATAAAGGTTAAACCTTCGGCCATTCGTAATTACAGGCTTTTTTCGATAATTTATCTGAAGAAAAGCTCCTTAGAATTAAACAAAAACAGGAAACAAATGGAACACGGCCCTCTTGCATTTCAATAATATTTCCGCGCGATTTATGGCAACAATCGATTCGTATCGAGTTATCGAATAAGGGCGGCGAGGTGAAATCGGACCAGTAACTCTATGGACGTCAAAACACCGTGTAAATTGCTAGAATCGAATATAAACGTCGAGAGGTATCGATTTCTGGGCAAACATTTAACTCTTTCGATTCTTGTTTACTGTTTCGATTATATTTGTGACAAGCGCCCGATATAGTGGAAGACGGGCGCCATCCGAGATGAAATACTAAATGTTGGAAATACTGACTCAGACCCCTAACAGTGTTATCAAAACGAGACTCGGTTCTGCTATTTGAAATGTCTTCCGTTGTTGAACAATCCACTATTTTCTTTGTGACACTATTATAAACGTTAAATGTATTTTTGGTTAAAACTAGATTACTATGAATAAAGGTTTGTTTTATAGTAAAAATCGATTATTGCTTATTTATTATTATTCTATATATAGTATATCTTTGATGTATTTGTCCACAAAGTAACAATTAATCTAGAGAGCTCAGTCAAATTTTAAAGTAATAACGTCATAATAACAAGAAAAATCTTCGTCCAATTCATTTTTGTACAATATAACACGATAGGTGAAGATGATCAAAATTTTTCATTTGCGATTCTTATAAAAAGATCAATGCGCGATAATCCTAAACCAAAGATTGAAAGGATCGAGTCATCCTCATTTCACGCCAGACATCCCCCAGTACACACCAATCCTAACGGAACACCAGCGGCATGCTTGAAGACCATCAAAAGCTCCGCATTGCGTTTCTGGCGTTTATTCGCGTGAAATTATCCGGAACGGTCGTGAACCCGCGACCGTCGGGGTCGACGCACCCGCGGGCTGCTGGGATAGATGAAAAAAACCGCGATCAGATTTCATGGCGCTGCGCCGACCCGCGGAACGATACAGAGCGTGATACAATCATTTCTGACCACAGAGTATAATAGACATCTGCTATGTATAGACAACAGCAAAAGAATCTAAGAGGATCATGTAATTCAAAAATTTTCTTTTGTACCAACAATACAAATAATAACTAAATACTCTCTATAGTTTACGCGAGTAGTACATATTTAAATAAAACACTTTAACGATTTAAAACGCGATATATAGGTTAAACTTATTTGAAAATGATTTTAACTTCGGCCCGACGTTTTGAATGCTTTGCAGCAGCCGTGGTCACGGGGAGAGATCCGAAACGTCGGGCCGAAGTTAAAATCATTTTCAAATAAGTTTAACCTATATATCGCGTTTTAAATCGTTAAAGTGTTTTATTTAAATAATAACTAGTCACTTTACAACTACGTTTTTAGACCAATTTTTATATTAACGAATTCCTAACTCCGATGCAGAAATTAAGAAACAAGTATGTTTACGTTCTCACCCTGATCACATCTCTATCTAAGAATGACATTTGTTAAGTTAATAGTCTGTGACACGATATTTGGTTAAATAATGCAAAGGGCACGTACTTCGTGGGTGTTTCGCGAATCAAAGGCCCACCGACAGACGGAAACGCCGCGTTAAATTGCGCGTGAGTGCGTGCAAGATTGAGATTTGGCGGAATTGGGTGGCCGCTGGACGTTAGGAGGAGAGTACACAGGGATATTAAAACTGAAAATATAATTATACTAAATATTGTCGTACTCTTAAATGAAAGGTCGGGCCATAGTTGAAATAAATTTCGAATACGAAAAAAATATTCCCATACTAAAAAAATCTCTTCGTATCAAGTGTTACCAGTTATGGACAAGACAGGTAACTATAACACGGGGTCCGTGTAACGAGATCCACGTGAGAGTTTCCCGATTTCAGTACTACAGCGGTGCCTTTGATCTTTCACCCAAAAGTGTCTATCGCGTATCGTATTACATATCATTTCTTATACGGTGTTGAATATATGAAGGCTGGCGAGTATCAACACGACGATGTTACGGGATGCTTTGAAAGCCTTTCTTTAGTAGGCGCAATATTGTGTAAATGTTGTCTTTATGGGGCCATGGGGCAGACGCGTTTCTGTGATATGATATCCATTACAATGATATAATGAATTTAGAGGATGTAATTATTGATAAAATGCATGTGTCCTAAGGACTAAAACTAACACGTTTTCCCGGGGATACACCCGCGACAACGTTGCCATTGAGTCACGGAGGTAGCTATAGGCATAGGTTTCCAATACCAATATACTAGGACTTAGGAATATTAATATTGTTATTAGATATATTGTTTTTTTTTATATAATTCAATTTTTAATAAAGTTTTATCATTATTGTAGTTTATTATATACATTTTATAATTACTGTGTTTCACGTAGTTTAAATTAGGTTTTTTTTATGTGGCATTACTAGTTTTCACACTGAAAACAAGGTAAGCGCAATTAAGTAAAATCTTATTATGTGTAGTTACGAGAGAATTATTTTTAGCTTATCATTACGGCATAATTATACGAAATTACTGCGGTTTATTGTTTATAACGAGCAGGAAAACTAGTGGATTCGCCTTGAGCCACAGATATATGTTTAATTAAAACATTAACATTGATCGAGACCCGGTTAATTAAAGGAGAGAATATTAATTGCAAGAGATATGTTGCTATTTCTTAATTATGTGAAAATAAGCCATTCACGCGCTATGCGTGTTGATCTACGATTTATAACGCAGTATAAAGCAATAAAAACATACTAGTCGCTAAGAAAAATAGTCTCGGGGGCAGATTCTCAAGAAAGTGGTACAAGATTTATATAATATATATCACTAGTGTTTATATAAATTCAAGTTTTCATTCACAATTTTAATGCATGTTGCATGCTTATGATAAAGTCTAAAACTAAGTTAGGCAAAATCAGAATTGAATAAAACACTTTGACGGTTTAAAACGCGATGTATATTAGTTAAAGTTGGGCAAAATAAATCAAATAAGTTTAAGTAATATATATGGCGTTTTAAACCGTTAAAGTGTTGGATTTTAATGCGTACTACTCGCGTGAACTACAGACAGTATTTTAAATTCAGATTTTGTTCAAACAAAATAAACGTGACATGATCAATTCCTGTAAAACAATAACCGAAAGCTCGTCCCAAACACACCCACGAACTAATAAAATACACGAGAACATCGATAAAACCCATTCGGAGATATGTCCGTGCGCGACCTCCCGCGGTTTTCGATAATTTTATAGAAAATTTCTTTTCATAACAAATAGGTTAGCTTGATGTGGGTTGAGCACGGAATCATTTGTGGGTTTGTGTGGTTCTATTTCTTGTTAAATTGTCGTCATAAATTACAGAAATTAAAGTTCGTTTGATAACGCCACTGAGAGGCGGGCTTTATTGACTTAGCATGTCATATTTTAGTAAGTCGGAATATTTTGTCTAAAAAAGCGTTACATGATACTGATGATTTTTATTAACTACCCTCAAGTATCAACCCTCAACTACCCTCAGGGATGCATAAAAAAACATGATTATGAAATCATTAATATTATTGGTAACATAAACACATTAATAAAATCCATTCCATACTTTAAAAAACGGACTTCAGAGTCTAAACACTTTATTCGTTTGTGTAAACGCAGTGTTTGTCTTAATGAAATTTGAAACTTCGTGATATGATGGTAACTAAGAAAACCTCGTATCAGACACCTTTGCATACAAGTGCAGTACATTTACGCTCACAACATTTCAATAGGACACCGATAAATCACGCTAGAAAGCGGTAACATGATCCACGGCGTAGGTTTAACTCGACACGAATATCGGCTGTGGTAGGTAGTTAGGTACTAGCCTTGGCACCTAAAAACTAGCACAGAATATAGAAGACAGTTGGCAGATGCCCGCAACGTCGATGGCATAATTTATTTTTGCATTTCCTGATGAATATACATAAAAGATTTTAAGGCACCCTTGAGAGCTTTGATCCTTGCATTAAAACATAAATTTACGTCTAACTTTTTTATTTATTGCATATTCATTTACCTATACCCTTAATAGTATTATTTTTAACATCAAATAAATATCTTTTTAACATCTTTTTGAAGCAGCATTTTTTTTTATTTGAAACTTTGTTAAATAAAGCAACTGTGTCTCTTCAAACGCGAGAAGCCGACGAAGTGCGAAGGCATCAAACTTTTAACAAATACATTTAAAATCTAAGGTTTCATATCACACAGCGAAAGTCAAATTTTCTTTCATTAATTTTTATATGGTTTCCGAGGATTAGAGATAAGAATGAATTAATACGGGGGGACTGTGGAAACCTAGTATAAATATATTTAGGTCAGAATTTAATCGTATTACAATGCATATTTGACGATCACTTTTTTTAGCATTAATGGCATAAAAATAAAAACAAAACTTTTAAGAAAATAACAGGCATTTAATTAATAGACATACATAGTTGCTTTGTCTACAGATACATAGCGAGAAAAAAATGGTTCTATATTTTTTTTATTATAGATGTGAAATTTCCCAGCCTTATGACCTGTAAACTTTTTGGCTATAATTATTCGGAAATAAAGTCTGAAACACAATCTGTTGACGATGGTTGGGACCCGGAAGAAATTTCGATATTCCCACGTGTTTCGATTTCTAGACGAAGTGTAACATGTTTCAAAAACATAATAAATTGACATTTGGGCCCGGTGGGGACCAATGCTTCCATTAAACCGAGGCCCCGCAAAAATATATACTAGACAATTTAACTTTATCTAATGCAACGAACGAAACGAAAGCTTAGGTACTTAATTATCTTACCCAATCGTATTCATAGACTCGCAATAGTCCAGAATGGCTAGCCATAGAACAAGTAGTGTCGCGATGGTGTATATGAAAACGAGGTGTTCGCAGGTGTAACGTTATAAATATCGCTCGGCCCTTAGCGTGAATAGAAAGTTGCAACATGCAATGGGCTAAGTAAATTATTCATATTGCACCGGAGTCTGGGCCTTCATAACATTTTGTAAGCGGAAAATACGTGGCCAAACGTTTGTTATCTTACTTACTTACTTACTTACTCCGCTGGCGCAGCGACCCAAAGTGAGTCTTGGCCTCCGAAACTAAAGAGCGCCTTTTTTCTATCCATTTGTTATCTTAGGTTTATTCTAAAACAAAGTATCTATACAAATATGAGGCTGTCAGAGGCAGAATGGCCTAACAAAAACCACGATTTTCAATAAGGTGGAAAATACAAATGCGCAATTAACTTAGGCGAAAATCAATGTACACTAACATATAAAGCTGAAGAGTGTGTTTGTTTGAACTCGCTTATCTATTATCTGTAACTATTGGTTCGAATTGAAAAAAAATATTTTGTGTTGGTTGAAGCATTTTTCGAGGAAGGTTTTTCGAAATCATCGCGCTGCGACCAACAGGATTGAAGAAACAGCATGAAATACGAAAAGAACGGACAAAATGATTCATATTTGTAGGTTTCTGATGCGTACGCTGCGAAAATGGTTAACGATACCCAAAAATATGCATGAAAGCATTATTCCCTATTAATTTATCTAACAAATGTCCATCTTTTAAGACTAACTTGCAAGAACGCGACCAACTCAAATTTATATGTATAGTTGAAGAGGAGGTTTGCGAAAACAAACTTTGATATTATTATTTGATTATAACCATATATTACATTGCAAGTAAAGTAAACAATAAATAGTACTAAATAATAAATGAAGTTAACGGCTTGTTAAGTTAAATAATAACCGGCGTTTAACCACAAGCGTTGTTCTCGTATATCTCGCGTTCAGGTAGCCGTGTCTTCACCGACATTACACGAACTACGGTTATTTACTTGCCAATTAAGGTCCACTATTCACTATATTTACAGACATAGAAAAGTGTCCGTTTTATCACAAAAGGGAATGGAATTTAACTTTTATTAACTATATATTATATATATATAATAAAGCTAAAGAGTTTGTTGAAACGCGCTAATCTC